ACTCGACTCGGGTATTCCTATACCGCATCTTATACCGTTCAATCAAGAATTCTTTGTCCCCTCTACGATTTGATTTCTTTCTAGTATTTTCTCGATTTAAAATTAGTTAGTTGTTTTAATATAAACGTTTTAATTGTTTCAAGTGTTTCCTGGTTTGTTTCCAAGTGAAACAAGGATTGCAGTAACGACATTGTCATTCTATTAACGTCGATTAACATTCCGTTCGAAATTCCGCAAAATGATTTCTTCTTCTTCTTCTTTTTTTCTTTTCTTTTCTTTTCTTTTCTTTTCTTTTCATCTATTCAGTAGCGTCTTCTCCTTTGACACGTTTAAAACAAACGTAATATTCATCTTTTTTTTTTTCCAAGGCAATCAAGCTCATTAAAAAATGCAAACTGATCAAGTATGTATGATGTAATCTCAAGCACACGCTTTTTTAATTGTCGATAATTTTGATTTGTTAGTGCGAAACGATATCGAATCGAGATTATGAAATACGATTTACATTGATAGATTTTGGACTGATAAAAAAAAAAAAGGAAAAAATAGAATAACCATAATATCGGTAATTATTACAATCGTTAAAATCTATATTATAGTTCTTTGTATTGCTCACGATTTAGATATTGTACAGGTCGGAGTGTTTAAGATTATTCTTCCATATTTTATGAAATTATATCCGCTTTATAAATATTTTGAGCCAATCGATGTATCTTTTTTCTCGAATAAGAGTCTCTTCTCGTCTCAAGAGAAGCTTGTTTAAATTCATTTTTCATTCAGAGGCAAAAGACGTAAGGGATATTAATAACTTAACCTAATATTTTTAAACAAATTGTGGCTATTATTCAAATATGATATGACAACTTACGCGTTAAGATAATCACAAACAACGATAATTGCTAAGATTGACAACAAGACAAGCAGCTTCTGTAGCATGATCTTCTGACACGAGTAATATATCAAGAAACCGTATCATTTTTCTTTTCTTCCTTTTCATTTTATTTCATTTTATCTTTAAACTCTCGATAAATCTCGATTCGATGCCCGAGAAGATGGGAAATTCGATTTTATGCGGTAAAATTGGAAAAATTGTAATCGAAAACCGGAAAAACTTGCACCATCGAGTTATTATCGTAATTAGTTGATTCTTAATTGCACGGAAAGATGAGATCTATTTATTGAGTCACGCTTATCCCCACTTCTTGGCGATCTGCTAATACATTTATCCATTGTAAATCAATCTTCTATCGCGTTAAACATTCCAGGCACGAGCCAACTCTGCGAAAATATCCATATATAAAATTCCAACGATAAAAAAAATAGCACGTGATCGATCGAATCCCCTATCATCTGTTCAAAAATTTATCATTAAATTTATCATTTATATCTGTTCATAGTACATCGATTCGCCGAATCTTGATTTAGAAACTTGGATTTTCTCGTTTCTTTATCAGTGGAACCGATTTTTCCTGGTTTAAAGAGACACGTTAAAATGCGAATTAATTCTCTTAATCACGTAATGATATACGTAATGATGTGCATAAAATTTTATTATTTATACTAAGACGATATTTGAGCCAAGGCCGGTGGTTTAACAGGTTTTCGAGATGCATTAGAGTGGGAAATTTACACGAACGAAAGTTTACGAGTCTAATTATCGGCGTGATTAGTTTCTATCATCTAAGACGTCCTTGATGAAATATACGAAGTCGATAACGGTCCTCGTCGTATCAAGGTTTCTCGATGATAATTCCCCTATAACCACCATATTTTTGCATTCGTTATTATTTTAACCTCCATCAACTTGTCAATTCTTGATGGCAAAAATTTTTACCATTCTTTTTTCTTTTTTTCTTTTTTTCCTCTTTTTTTTTTTTTTTTTTTTTTTTTTTTT